AAAAAGAGAAGAGAGAGAGAGAGAGAGAGAGAGAGAGAGAGAGAAAGCGTAACAGACAAATATAAGACATGATTCATGTACACTTCGGACATTTTTTTGTGCAATAAACGTTAAATTTTGAAAAAATGTTGCTCTTAATACATCACTCGGTAGTCATGTGGCATCAAAAATCAATCTTAGTTTTACCAAAATGAGACTTTTAGTATCCGACAAATAATGGGATTTTATTTGAGTGCCAGATATGACTATCGCGGATGGCTTTTTGTTTATTTACAATATATAATTATACTTATGAAGATTCCTTTTTTATTACTGATCTCTGTCTATTCCTCGATGCGATATTCGTAAGATTTGACTCTATGTTTTCTCTATTACATTTCTTTGTTTTAAGTAAAAATTCAAGAATATATTTCATTAATATATGCGCACGGCTTCGTGTAGATATTGCTCGCATTTCTTATCTGCCTCTCCGCGTGCGCGCGCGCGCGCGTATTTTCAATATCGGTAACAAACACACAGAGAGAATTTTAAAGGGAAGCTACGGTCTATCATTACAGAATATACATCATTACAGCTTGAATTTAATTATAATTTACACCTATTCAACATTGATTTCGCGATTTGAGATATGAGATATAAGAGATATGAGATTAAAGAAAAATAAATTAATACAAACATATTGAAATAAAATTCTCTTCAAATTACGCGTGTGTATAACGTGTTGAGATAACTTCTTGTAAAAAGATCCATAAAGAATAATATGTTAATTTGATAATATATTTTCCTTTTTATTTTTTTATATATATATGTTGATACTGCATGCGGTAATTTAAATAAGAATATTGAGAAATCAGTAATAAATATAGACAGATGTATGTTTAATTCGATGCTAAAGACTTTCTAGCGAGTTATATCGTAATAATGTCCGTAAGATGTATCATGTGTTTTATCATACAATTTTCTTTTATTTTGTAAAGTAGCTACTTGTTCTTTCAAAAAAAAGATCTTTCTTCGCTTTGCTATTACAAAATGACTTAATTTTTTATAAAAATTATATCAAATTTTAATAAATATTTATAAAGACAACAATTGTATTCATTTTCTTAGCTATCTGGAAATATTGAACTACTACTTGAGTTTCTACTAATTTTCGCTATGTAATAATGTTGTCCAAATTATAATAAGCAGTTAATTATGTTTTTCAATATGTAAATCATTTAGCGAACTGCTCAAGTTCGTTTATGATTCTTCACTATAGATATCGGCAAATATTAATATAATTTCTTACTGCGTATACAGTAGTAACGCATTGTTTAAATGTAACTTGTTTTTTTTTTTTTGGGTCGGGTAGTTTCAGCCCAACAGATCACAAATTGGCGACCTGTAGTGACGATGGAACTGTCAGAATTTGGGACTTCCTTCGCTGTCATGAGGAACGAATTCTTAGGGGTATATAAATATTTCATTCCATTTACTACGAAATAAGTCACTTTTTGTTTCTTTATTACTCATGTTATTCGAATTATATGATTTTACACATATACATTCTTTTACCTGTTTTTCTATATTTTTATACATAATTATATATACATACATATACGTATATTATTATCTTTATTACATACATCTTCTTTTATATATTTTATACATTCTGTTTTTTAGAGCCTCTTTATTTTGCCATTAAGAGCGAAAATTGATAATTATTTTTTCGTGTGAAATTTTCTTATGTTCATCTTTAGGAAATAAATAAAGTTGCATTGGATACAGTATTTTATAGCGTTCTTTCTGCAGGTCACGGCGCGGACGTCAAGTGCGTGCATTGGCATCCCCAAAAGAGTCTAGTCATTTCTGGTAGTAAAGATAATCAACAACCAGTGAAATTGTGGGATCCGAAGACTGGGCAATCTTTAGCGACATTGCACGCACATAAATCGACCGTGATGGATGTTAAATGGAACGAAAACGGTAACTGGTTGGTGACCGCATCAAGAGATCACTTGTTAAAACTGTTTGATCTCAGGAATCTTAGCCAAGAGGTTCAAACTTTCCGTGGCCATAAAAAAGAGGCATCTAGCGTTGCATGGCATCCGAGTCACGAAGGTCTCTTCTGTAGCGGAGGTAGCGATGGTGCTATACTCTTCTGGCACGTAGGGTACATATTGCTTTTGCTTTTTCTCATTTTTTAAGGTTAAATGAATATTGAAGTTAGTTATATAATTTTTTATCTTGAATTTTAGAGCGGACAAGGAAGTAGGAGCGATAGAACAAGCGCATGATAGCATAGTCTGGACATTGGCTTGGCATCCATTGGGTCATATCTTATGTTCTGGTAGCAACGATCACACATCCAAATTTTGGACACGTAACAGACCGGGAGATCTGATGAGAGACAAATATAATCTCAATACATTACCGGCGGGTGCGGCTGGTGTGGACGATCACGAAATCGGTACTAAAGATCAATATTTCACAAAATTCACAAAATTATTTTTTTAACGGTATCATAACGGTATAATATAATATAAATATTCATATTGTTAAACTATTTTTTCATCCTTTTTCATCTTTCTTAGCCGATGAAGCAGCAGTGATCCCTGGCATGGGACCAGAGGACAGAATCAACGCCGATTGTGAATCCGAGGACAAAAACGGCGGGATCCCTGGTCTAGATTTGGATCACGCGGTGGACGAGGGCAAGAAATTCGCCAACAAGAAAGTTCCGTATAGTAAACCAATACCGCGAAATTTTCAAGCACAGTGGAACGAAATGGAAGCCGAGGACATCGAGCAAGTCGAAGCACTTAATGCATTCGTGAATCAATTAATAGAAACAACACCGGGTGCAGTGCCTTTGAACGAAGTCACACCCAATGCTATTATATTATACGGAAAAATGATTCCCGTAGAATGTAAGCGTAATACATTTTCGTTTAAAATATATGTAATTAGTCTCGAACATATGTCGATTTTGATATTGAAATTTAAAATATGTGATTATTAAATTTAATCATATTTTTTTAGCTGGCTCTAAATTGGCAGAAGCGATCAGTAAAGGGACCGATGCCATAAATAAATTAGTATCCTCTGGTGAGATAGAAGAGTTACGGGATGTGGTAGGTCCACCGGATAATATAGACGAAGCCGAGGAATATTTGCAAGACGATGGCGAAATTGATTATTCCAAAGTACCCGACGTAGATTTGCCGCCACCCTTGCCCAGCTCAAAATTCGCACAGAATCCGGAATTGCTGAAATCGTTGAATCGCGGTGGCAAGCGCAAGTTTGATCAGCTGATCGGTTGGAGCGATGGTGGAGCTAGCGATCGTACATCCAAAATGCACCAGCCGGTCTTTGGTGGCGTAATTACGGAGGATTCGCAGTCCAGCGATACCGATTTGAGATTTGGAATCGGCAAATCGATCCTTCACCTCGCGGAAAGTAGTTCCTTCCATAGCGGTCAAGACGAAGATCACAGGAGAAGTGGTGTTCATGTTGATCCAACAAGGAGTAGTAATCGCGGAGATGAGGATCTAAGGTTCAACATGTCTGTCGGTAGACCCGGCTCGCGCAATGAATACGATCCACGTGGCAACAGTTTCGCAGATAAAGATTTCCGTAACATCGGCAGTTTCCTATCATCAAAGTCTTTAGATGACGATGATTACGACGATCTAGAGCATGATGATGCCGGCGGTCGGTGGGACGATGAGAAAACTGAAAGTTCGCGCGGCAAATTGGATGGCACGTTTGCTGGCAATAACTTTGACAAGCGAGACAATGGCATAGCGATGGGTCTCGGTAATAGTATGCATGGTCATATAGTTAACATGCCCCACCTGTCGAATCATCACAACATGCAAAATATCAATCCTAATATGCCGCCACCGATACCAAGCCTAGTACCGCATCCCAATATGTCACAGCATCCTGGCATGCAGGGTAAACCACCGCATCCCGGTATGCCCGGTATAGATGGCCCGATGCCACCGCATATGATGCCGCATCATCCGAACATGCATCCAGGTTTTGGGCCTAATGGGCCGCCACCCGGTGGCTTCGGACCCAACTTCCGTCCGCCACCGAATGGCAATTTCGGCCCGAATCACTTCAGACCAAATCCGATGTTGCCATTCGGACCGAATCAGGGTCCGCCGCCGTTCGGCAATAATTTCCAGGGACCGCCCAACTTTCGCGGACCCAATGTCGGCCCAATGAATTTCGATCGCCCGGGCTTTGGATCCAATTTCCGCGGTCAAAATCCACAAGGTCAACTGAACAATTTCAATTCCAACTTTGGTAACTTTGGCAAGAACGGTCCCAATCGTGGCATGAGTCGTGGCGGTGGCGACAGCATGGGCAGGAGTGGTTATAATAATCGTGGTAGAGGACGTGACAACGATCAACCGAGAGGAGGGAGGGGAAGGGACAATTACTAATTAGAGGAGATTTCTCAGAATAAGCGATTATTGATAATATTCTTATATTTCGGTATAAATAGTTTTGCAAACTTTGTTCAGTGAAACTTTGACTTGATATATAATGTGCCGTTTCAAGAGCCGTGTCCTCACGTGTACATAAGCATACTACATGCGTACGGTGCATATATTCATATACATGTATGGTGTGTGTGTGTGTGTGTGTGTGTGTGTGTGTGTGTGTGTGTGTGTGTGTGTGTGTGTGTAGTA